CCCCATTTTACAGGGGAGGAAACTGAGGCTCAGAGAGGGAGACTGGGTGCATAGCTGGGAAGCCCTGAACTCATATCTCCCCCAGCCCCACCATCCCCTGGCTCCTTGGGTGAAGTTCAGGGTCCCCGTGACTTCACAGAAAATATAAACCAAAACCCATTCCCGAGTGGCGCCACGCAGACGTAAGGCAGAATGGGAGTGGGAGCCAGACAGACAAGAAGCCTCTGTAGAGACTGCTGGCTATGGCTTTGCTGTCTGGTAAATAGTAATAATAACCCCCGTTTGACCTTGAACCACATGCCATGCCCATGGAGGCCTCCCAATAACTGCCTTAAGGCCAGGCTCAAAACGTACCCCCATTACACAGACGGGAAAATGAGTCTCGGAGACGTGAGGTGATTTTCTGGGCGTCACCCACTGGGAAGTGGCAGGGCTGTGATTGGAACACTGTAATGCCTGGCTATGTTTCCTGGCCGAGGCCTTGCAAGTGGGGTGGCATCAGGAAATGTTTGTTGATTGACAGACAGACTGTAAGAATGAATGATTTAGCCGGAACCGGTTTGGCTCAGTGGATAGAGTGTCGGCCTGCGGACTGGAAGGTCCCAGGTTCGATTCCGGTCAAGGGCATGTACCTTGGTTGCAGGCACATCCCTGGTGGGGGCTGTGCAGGAGGCAACTGGTTGATGTTTCTCTCTCGTCAAAGTTTCTAGCTTTCTATCCCTCTCCCTTCCTCTCTGTAAAAAAAAAAAAATCAATAAAATATATTAAAAAAAAAAAAAAAAGAATGAACGATTTAATGAATGAAAGGCCAGCTCTGAGGCTGGGGGCCGGTGAGGAACCTTCAGATGCAAGCCAGGCCTCCAGGCCCGCCTGCTGACCTGCCATCCTAGCCTCATCGGGGGAGAGGGAGGGTGGCCATCTGGTGGGCAGAGTAGGGGCAGGAGCCAGCCCCCCCTCTCCCATCTCTTGCCCCTGAATGCTCACACTCTCTGTGACTTATTGTTTAACTTTACAGACCCTTGGCTTTTATGAGGGCTATTTATAAAGCTCCGGCTTTGATCCGCAGCACAGAAAAGCAAACTCCTGTGTCTGGAAATGTCACCGGGGATTAGGGAGCCTTTGAAGTCCCTCCTCGCAGGCAGCGCCCGCCCAGCCTCCCCCCAAGCATCTGCAGCCTCAGTGGGGCAGAGCGGCCGTCCAGATGAGTGACAGGCAGGTTCCCTCCCCTGGCAGCCTCTCCCAGCTGGGCCCTCATCCTCCTTCCCAGCAGCCTGGGCCGCTCTGGGCTCCAGATGTCGGCAGCATCTGTCTCTCCTGTTTGTGCACAGCCACCGGCTGCTGGCGTGTCCCTGAGCCCAGCAGAGGGGACTGTGGGGCTTTAGGCAATGGAGTGTGATTGCTGGCTCTTTGGGAGAGAGGGGCAGGGAATGTCAATAGGCTGGCCGGCAGAGAGAACAGCTCTAATGAGGGGTGTGTGTGTGTGTGTGTGTGCACTATACCCTTCTTCCTAATCCGGGGCCTAATCTCCCACCGCCTGCTAGGGCCCCTTCACTTGTTTCTTCCCTCTGTCAGTCAGGCGGCAGCTGGAGATCCCGGCGAGCTCGCAAGGGCGTGGGAGAGGGGCCCACGCAGCCGAGGTGAGAGCAGCAGGGCTCCCTGCTCCCTGAGGCCGGAGGGGTGGGCAGGCCGGCCTGTCCGCCTCCGTTCAAACAGTCACACTGGCCCGGGGACTTAGGACGCATTCCCTCTCCCTCTCCCGGATCTTGCGGGAACTCTGTGCCTCTCAGCTGCCGAGAGCAGGTGCGGAGTGAAGTCCCTGTCGGCCCCTCTGAGCTGCCTGATCTTGGGCCAGGCCTCGCCCTCTCTGAGCACCCTCCTCCCAAACAGCAAGGTTGTCTGAGTGTGTGTGTGTGTGTGTGTGTGGGGGGGGGGGGGAGTCACTCCAGGGAGCAGGTGGGATGCTTGGGAGCCCTCGAAGGAGCCAGTGGGTGCCACCTGCCTCCTGCTCCAGACCCAGTGGCCTTTGCCAAGGCAGGGGAGGCGCCGTGCCTTCTTGGAAGCCGGCAGAGCTCCTGGGGCAGCAGGTGTGCGCCTTGTGAAGTGTGCGCCCCCAGGCTGCGGGAGGCGTGGCGGGAAGGAGAAAGAGACAGCCCCTCCGGACAGGCCGATCCGGAGAAGACACCCCTTGGACGCAGTACAGCTTTCTTCTGGCCGCTGAAGGCTCCGGGCCCAGGCTCTGCGAGCAGCCCTCAGGCTGAGTGTCTGATGCATTTCACCCCCATCTGCACCCCTCCACCAGGCCCCGGCAGGGCACAGCCTGACAGCCCTGTCCACAGTCTCCTTCCAGCTGTGGCCCGAGGTGCCCTCTGCCCGGAGGAGAACCTGGGCTCCAGAGTCAGCCGGGGCCAATCCAGCACCGCCCAGCTGTGTGTGCCGCCACCCCCCCTGCACCCCCGGGCCTCAGTGTTCTCGTCTCTAGAATGGGGATGGGGATGACAGCTCTCTCATCTCGGGTGCAAGAGATGACCTGTGCAGCCACTGGGGCCTCTCATTACACTTGGGGCCTTTGCTCCCCAGCACCAGCTCAGACCCAGGCTGCACCCTTCCTTCCTTCCTTCCTTCCTTCCTTCCTTCCTTCCTTCCTTCCTTCCACTTACCAATCCATCCATCCATATATCCACCAACAAGTGCTTGTGCCTTTATCTGCTGGGGTTTTTGTCCCAGTGTCATGAAGGGTTCAACAATCTGGAGAAAGGAGCTGATGTGTAGATTAAGAAGGAGTCCAAAGACGAAAGACAAATTTGAAAGGCACTGGGGGTCAGAGGAGCTTCAGCTAAAGGAACTAAAGACTACCCCTTGACTAAGGACCCCATGCTATTTATTAACCTTGCCTAAGGCGAGGTGGAGATAATACACTTCAAAGGGCTGGGTTTATAGAAGCATTGTCAGGTTGGGCAATAGACTACAGCTGTTCAGGTGTCTGGCCCACAGGAGGCAACATCATGCAGATTTAAGATGCTCTGAGCTGTCTGGCAGCAAACGATGATCCTCTTCAGGTTTGGGGGAGATGCTTTTTAGCTGTCACAGATGATTCAGCCCTGCTGACATGCTGGAATTGGCTTTGGGCACTTATCTGTCCATGTGCCTTCTTACCCACCCCTCTATCCATCTATCCATCCTTTCACCATCCATTCTCCCACCTGTCCAACTACTTTTCCTTAGCACCGTCTCAGTGCCAATTTCTAGAGACAAAGCAGAGAACAGAGCTTCTGGTCTCCAGGGAAGATGAGACGCACCCATCACTTCCTCATGTGTTTTCCCGCCCCGCCCCGGCTGCAGGCAGAGAAAGGCGGGACATGGTGCCTGTGTGACCCCCTCCCCGCACATCATTACCACATTAGGGGATCTGAAAGGTCCGGCAGTCAAGCTCTCTTTTCGATCCTTTTCTACCACTTACCAAGTGCCATGCCTCTGGAACCTATTTTAAGAAGTTTGCCTGTTAAAATCCCATGGAATGAGGTATCTCAGAAGAGATTTTGGGGAATGCTGATAAACCAAGGAAGAAAGAATCAAGTGTGTCATTTAAAAAGCACAGAGTAGCACTGGACTATAAGCCAAAGTATAGAATACATATCCATGAGTCCCTGCGGACATGGATCAATGACGGAGCAAGTGAGAAGGAGGGAACATACACATCTCTGTGCAGAAGAATCTTAATAATTTTTAAAATATATTTTATTGATTTTGTACAGAGAGGAAGGGAGAGAGATAGAGAGTTAGAAACATCGATGAGAGAGAGTCATCGATCAGCTGCCTCTTGCACACCCCCTACTGGGGATATGCCCGCAACCAAGGTACATGCCCTTGACCAGAATCGAACCCGGGTCCTTCAGTCTCCAAGCCGACGCTCTATCGATTGAGCCAAACCGATTTCGGCAAATCTTAATAATTTTTGTAGCTACTCTGCCCCCACGGGGGGGCGCCCATCACTCCCACTCCGCAGGAGTGGGGTGTGCGTATGACTTCCTTGTAACGTGGACAGGATGGAGCGAGAAGCCTGGCGAACGCTCCCCAGCCCCGAGGTCAAGGGAAGGTCGACACGGATGTGCCAAACAGCATGTGTGCCTGGGTGCCATGATGGAAGCTGCACTTTGCTCTGTGGCCTTCTTCCCCAAGCATACAACTCAGCTTAATGAGAAAACCATCAGACAAATCTCAGCTGAAGGAAACACTCCCGAGCACTCCTCACAATGGCCAAGGCCACGGAAAACAAGAGAAGCCTGAGGGACTGGCCCAGGCAGGAGGAGTGGTGACTAAATGTAATTTGGGACCCAGCACAGAAAAGAGGCGTTAGGCAAAAAGAGAAATCTTCTTTAAAAAATTTTTTTTTTAATTTATTTTTTATAGAGAGGAAGGGAGAGGGATAGTTAGAAACATCAATGAGAGAGAAACATCGATCAGCTGCCTCCTGCACACCCCCTACCGGGGATGTGCCCGCAACCAAGGTGCATGCCCTTGACCTTTCACTCCACAGGCTGACACTCTATCCACTGAGCCACACCGGTTAGGGCCAAAAAGAGAAATCTTAATAAAGAATAGGCTTTTGCCCTAGCTGGTTTGGCCCAGTGGGTCGGCCTTGGACCGAAGGGTCCCAGGTTTGATTCCAGTCAAGGGCACATGCCTGGGTTATGGGCTTGATTCCCCAGTAGGGGGCGTGCAGGAGGCAATCAATCAACGATTCTCATCACTGATGTTTCTATCTCTCATTCCCTGTCTGAAATAAATAAAATATATTTAAAAAAAGACTAACTGGGCATGAACCTTCAGCAGCTTCTAGGTCATGGAAAATAATAATAATAATAATAATAATAATAATAATAAAGACTTTAGTTAACAATAATGTATCAATATTGGTTCATTAATTGTGATAAATGTACCACGTATGTAAGTACATTTTCTGTAAGTCTAAGATTGCTCTGAGATTTTAAATTATTTTGAATTGGGAGGCTGATATACAAATTGAGCTAAGTACTGCTCTAATTGTCACCATTCCTCCCTAATAAACTGCTATTTTTATTGATTTCAGAGAGGAAGAGAGAGCGACAGAGAGACAGAAACATCAGTGATGACAGAGAATCTACGGGGGTGGGGGGGGGTGGGGGGGGGGGGGGGATTGAGCCGCAACCCAGACATGTGCCTTTGGCCGGAATCAAACCCAGGAGGACCCTTCAGTCCTCAGGCCGACACTCCATCCACTGAGCCAAACCAGCTGGGGCTAAACTTTACTTTGATGACCAGGATAAATAAAGTGAAAAAAAATGAAAAGAAGTAAAAAATTAAGTAAATAGATAAAAGAGTAAATAAGACTCCAGGCCAGCACAGGAACAGCCTGGGGACACACCACACCCCGGTTGGGAAGGGTTTTTAACCCTGAGCAAGTTGCTTTCTGGGCCTCAGTCTCCTCATCAGTAAAATGGGGGTTTTCAAGTTCCGGGTACTAGTTGATGTGGATGAAATGAGGCGATGTGTGGGGACCATTAGGCACCAAGCCACCCCCTGGGCTGTTCCTGTTCTCTTCATTGTTTGTGGGGGGCTGAGGGGTCAGGGATTGGGGCCGAGCCTTGGAGAACTGGTGGGAGACAATGGGGTGGGGTGGAAAGTCAGCTACCCCCAAAGCAGAGAGGTCCCTCCTTCTATCCCTAACCCCCCCCCGCCCCCCCCGTGGGCTCCGGGGCGCGGGCGGGAGGAGACAGAGACCTCAGGGAGCCGCTCCGCCTTCCACCCCGCCATGGCCGGCCGGCCGGCTCTGTCCGCCAGGGTCTCTGGGCTAAGTAACCGCTAATCCCTCCCCATGAAGCACCTGTATCCGTAAGCAAATGAGCTGGCAGGCGGTGCCCGATAAAATATGACCTGCTCTGCAGGGGATTTGCTTACCGGTCGGGAGGCAGCCCGTCCTGCTGCCCGCAGCCTGGAGGCCTCCCGGATAGAGCATAAATCAGCCGTGGTGCCCACGGGGCGGTGGCAGGGCAGAGGGAGGGCGTGGCACCGGAAGAGGGAATGCCTGCTCAGCCCCCTGCGGCCGGCCGACGCACGCTTCCCCCGTGGCTCCTGGAAGAGAACCGGACGGGGAGTGAGGCTGGGAGTGATCCGTCCATCGCAGGCTTGCTGGGCAGCGGTGGGCAGGCTGCGTCCCCCTCTGGGCCTTAGGTCTACTGTCTCAGTGAGATGGATTGTTCCTCTTCCCCTCGTAGGTTTGCCACCAGGATCATAGGAGGAATGGCATGGAAACACACCATAGTTGTTATCATATTGATCATCACTGTGCTGGAAGTCCGGCTACGCAGAGCTCAGGGACGGTGACTTCCAGGGGGCGGGTAGCTTGGGGGAATTACCTTCAAGGCTACAGCATCCGTGGGCAGAAAGTGGGGAAGGCAACAAGATAGACAGACAACGGCAGGACATGGTGTGAGTCCTACAACTGCCTCTTGTGAGCTGAAGGGACTGGGGCAAGGCCCTCCCCTCTGAGCCGCGCCAGCGCACCCAGAGCCCTGAGGGATGTGGTCCGGAGGGCGAGGGAGGCTGCCTGGCACGGAAGCAGCTGCCCGCTGAAGGCGAGTTCTCTGAGGCTGACCCTCGTGTACAAATCAGATCTGCTCCCTCCCCGGCTCCCGGCGGAGACTGGGAGTCTCGGAAAGCCCGGGCGTCTTCCAGGCCTGAGCTGAGTCCCTGCCCGCCCCTCCCGGCCGGGACTTCCTGGGGAAGGCTGAGCGGGGCTGCGGGGTCGGCGTGATGAAGACAGAGCCGCCTGCTAATGCCATGTGGCTGCTGTGACAGTCTGTTAATGCCATTTACCGCCGCCCTGACGATGTCGCCCACATGCCGGGCCCAGCCGGCTGAACGTCCTGGGAGGGCCCGGAAGCTTCCGCTAGCAGGGGGGCTGGGTGGGGGTGGGGGTGGGTGGGGGATTGGGTGGGGGTGAGTGGGGGGCTGGGCTTTCTTAGGAGGTGGGGGCTGGGGGTGGGAAGCCGTTGGCAAGGGGATAGAATTCCCCCCTCAGACAGCCCCTGGCTGCCGGACGCCTGAGAAAGACTCACCCTCCTGGGGGGGCGGCACCCATCGCGAGCTGCTGTGCACCTCCGATGGGGTCATGGCTCCTCATGGGCCTGTGTCCCCTCCGCACACCGCGGGGGAGGCGGAGAGGGGCCCGGGGCAGCTCTCAGCCTTTCCTCGGCGTCTCCATCACAAGGTAGCGAAGTCTCAGGGGCGCACCGCCCCCAAACCCCGTCCTACAGCTCCTCTCGGTCCAGGCGGCTCCTGGACCTCTGCCCGTGGCCAGCCTGTTCTCGGCCGGCGCTCCGAGCTGCTGTGGCAGGAGCTGCAGGCGGTGCGGAGGGAGGAGGCATTCGGGACACGGGTGCCATGACAAGCAGCCGCTCCCGCCGGGAAGCGCCCAGGCCTGTCCCTTACGGCGTTTCGCCCTGAACTTAGCGGATCCGCTCGATCTACACCTGCCCGCACCCACGCCCGAGGGTCCTGCTGGCCGGCCACACTCCCTGTGCTTGAGGTCGGGGTCCTGCTTTCTCCAAAGCTCAGCTCCGCCCCCTCCCTCAGCCTCAGTCTCCCCTCCCAGGAAGCGGCTGTCATGGGGATAAAGGCGTCCACGCCCTCGGGTGCCTCGCACAGAGGAAGCACCCACAGGTGCTGCTTTCTGTCCCCGTCACCCCCCTCCCCCATCAGCCCCGCGCACCCCTCAGCCCCCTCTCCTTTCCCGGAGGCCTGAGGCTCCTGGGAAAAGCTCCTGGGAACGGAGAGGCCTGTTTCCAAGTCGTCAGTCCCCCAGCGCCAGGCTGCGGGATGGATTGGATCACGAGTGGGGTGACATTTGGCAAAAGTTGCTGATGAGGGATTGAATGATTAATCGTCATGACAACCGGGCTGGAGTAATGACAGGGATGGGATGGCGCCCGAGTTAGACACAAAGCGGCCCCAGAGCCGGGCGGTAAATTACTAGGCATGTCACCGTGGCGCTTCTGGAGAGAGCGGCCGTGCGTTCCTAATGAGAGGTTAACTGTGTCCCCAAAGTAATTACCGCGATGGAAGAGGTGGCTGGCAATTAGGGGATTAGCGGTGATGAGGCTCACCTGCATGGTTGCCATGGTGACAGGGGGTGGGTGGGGTAGGGAGTGGAGGAGGATCCGGACGCCCCCCGCAGGCAGGTGCCACGGTGCTAGCCACGGTGTCCACCACCAGTGGGCAGGCCTCGGGGAACTGGTGGGAAGGCCCCACGCTCCTGCCTCTGGAGGCTGGGCCTCAGTCTTCCCATCTGGAAAACAAGGGTTTGAACCCATTCAGCAACCTGGACTGTGAAAGCTCATAGTGGAAGGTGCCGGCTGAGCGACAACTCTTTCAGAGCCCAAATAGGCTTTAATTTGCCACCTTCCCCCAAGCCCAGCATTGCAGGGACCCAGACAATCACACACAAATTCCCCTTCCCGGCCGCCTGGCCTGGGTCACGGGTCCGAGGAGGAGTCTCAGCTTCCTCACCTCCAAAGTGGGGAGACTGATAACGGCTCCTCCCGACGAGGGTTGTCTGGGGACGAGATGAAATCATAACTGCAGAGCACCTGGGACAGTGCCTGGCCACGGCCAGAGCTCCGGGAACGCTGGTGGCCACGGCCACGTTCTGGCCCCTCCTCTGCCGGCTGGAGGCAGCTGGAGCCCGCGAGGACGGGCCTCAGGGAATGGGCTGAGCACACCCACAAGCGACAGATGACCGGGAATTCCAGGGGAGGGAGTGGATGCCTCTCTGCTCACTTGCTGGGCATCCTTGGCCAGTCCCTTTGCCTCTCTGGGCCTCTGATGGGAGTGAGGAATGAAACGCTGGTTTGTGGGGCACTTACCATAAGCCAGACCCTGACTCTGCACGCTGTGGTTGTTTAATTTGATCCACCGGATAACCCATACACATAGCATTTTGCCCATTTTTAAGAGCAGGAAACAACCAAGGCTCAGAGAGGTGGAGTGGCTAGTCCAGAAGCTCACAGCGGCAACCTGAAAGCCGAGATTCAAACCCAAGTTAATCCGAAGCTCTCACACTTCCTGCTTTATGGGAGGCCGCTTTGCGCCCTAAAGAGAAGGCAGGTCCATCGAGGGGTCCGGTACCCCTCAGGCAGCCTCAGAGAGAGGTCTTCTGGGAGGGCCGGGCAGGGCCATGCTCACACAGGGCTGGTGGAGGTGCCGGGGTGTGGAGGGTGACGGCGAAGGCCCCACACGGTCCCTGGCCCAGCGGCGGCGACGCCCGGTGTCTGGGCGAGGCCTCAGGGAAGCGCCGAGCGCAGGGGCTCATGGTTCCATCCATAAGCGAGGGGTCGCGCTCACGTCCAGGCCTTCATGACGAATTCGTGACCTTTTTAATGTGCTCAGCCCGCCTTCCAGCATCGCAGGGCGAGGCCCTCGCCGGAGGGAGCGGCAGGCCTGGCCCTGAGGCAGTTTGCAGACCCGTTTTCCTCACTTTGGTTCTTTGGGAGGAGGAAGGCGAGGGGGTGTCTGAGCTTACGCTGAGGGCAGGGGCTCTGGAGTGAGTTCAAGACCCAGCTCTGGACCGGTTTGGCTCAGTGGATGGAGCGTCAGCCTGCGGACTGAAAGGTCCCGGGTTCGATTCCGGTCAAGGGCATGTACCTTGGTTGCGGGCACGTCCCCAGTGAGGGGTGTGCAAGAAGCAGCTGGTCGATGTTTCTCTCTCGTCGACGTTTCTGACTCTCTGTCCCTCTCAATTCCTCTCTGTGTAAAATCAATAAAATATATTAAAAAAAAAAAAAAAAGACCCAGCTCTGCTACTTTTGGGCCAAATGACCGCCAGCATGTGTGCGGCCCTGCCTCCTGGTCAGGAGGCGAAATGGGATACAGCAGATGCTCAGTGTGCAGTGAACACTCAGTATGGGCTAGTGGTTATCGCTGCTGTAGGGTTTTACATACAATATGAAATATACTTTTATTGATTTTAGAGAGGAAGGGAGAGGGAGAGAGAGAACCATTGACCGGCTGCCTCCTGCACACCCGCTCCTGGGGATCGAGCCCGTAACCTGGCATGTGCTCTTGACCGGAATTGAACCTGGGACCC